ATTTTCGCCAACAAGAACGAAGCTAATATTCTTTTAAATTTGTTTGTATTGATGGTAAGGTTTGAAGTCAGAGGGACATTTTGAATAACTTTCAACAACACATTTTCTTCTATCATATCTACCTGTGTGTGAATGTGAAACAAAAGAATCAACATATGTTTTGGCAAATTAATAAATGTGTTTACATTCAAAATAAACTGACATTCGTTGCAAACCGTGCATGTCTGTTGGCCTTCACAGTCTAATCATTTTAAACAAAGTGATAACACACAATCAAACGGGGCCCATCGGAATATACCAGCAGTGGCGGTGGGGGACTTTAGATCGACCATCACAAATGACACACTTGACAGAATCGTGTAGTAAACAGTAGATAAATGATGCTGACTTGTAGAACTATAGCAACTCTGACACATCATATTTATATAATTTGTTGTGCAATACTCTAGGCGTAATTGTTCGAATCCTCTTCCAGATGTATGATAATTGTGTAGGTTGAGAGGGAAAGTTCGATCGTACAGTCAAATACAACGTCAAAAAAGCTTCTGTCCAAAAATTGCAATAGAATTTAACAACATGGTCACCAACAAGAAGGCTATGTCAAAAGGGGAACAGTGACAAGTTTTATACTTTTACTTTCCGCTCTATAACTAAATGTTCGTAGGTGCAGGGAGTGCGATTAGACATCAAACTAAACAGTAATACAATAGTGATGTGTGTTGAATTTTAGTGACATCCTTCTGGTGATCTCGCTGTAATACAAATATGAAGGTCTGAGCTGATCACACAGAATTTGTCGACTTTAATTAGTACATTAGTATAAATAATGGAACCCAAGCAAAATATGACTTATCAGAATTATCCTGCTGAAAAAACTCCAACGAGCTTCCTGTTGCATGTCCCTATAGCTTATGTTGTAAGACTTGGCTGGTGATTGAAGTACACTCACTGGTAGCTGCGCCGCTCCTCCTCTCTGTCGTCTGCACTTACTGCTGCCAGATCCTCAACTATTTCAAGCTCTGGGATTTCTTCTGGAGTGCAACTTCTTTCTTCTGAACTTTTCAGACGCACTTTTTGTGGAAATCGAGCCAGCAACAATCCGCAGACGACTGCCTCGGTGTTTAAATCAGTACGAACACATAACCGGTAAGTGGGCAAGACGCATGACTGAATTAAACTCTGCTCACCAGGAGAAGTCCCGTTTCTCCAACTGGCCATTTCTCCGTTTCCCAGAAACATGTTGCATATTAGATGCACATTTCTATAAATAAAACAAGAAGACATTTAAAGAGGACCAAATAGAAATGGCTCAACATATCTCTGGTAATGTGGAGAACATACATTTGCTTCAATTATGAGATCATTGTGCATGCATGTGCCTCGCTATAACTGGAGAGCAGCATTTCAAACTGTATGAACAATAGACTGTTGAAACCATTTTACAATACATAAATAAACAACGTTTTTTTTATTGTGTAATACATTTTGGGCCTCTTGCACATAAGCTACGGAACTTTCAACTCACTTATTCTTGACCTTGTAATGGTTGAAGAGGTGCAAAGGCGATGTGTGTGTGCAGCAGGTCTCTCCAGCAGGCCCACTGGCATTCAGACTAGCAAACAGAGCGCGCAGACGGGGCCGGGGTGAGGTTTGCGATTGGTTGATAGATGTTCAGAAGTCAGTTTCTCCTCCCCGGTAGTAGAGATGACGTAGTGACTCAGACACGGTCTCTCCCTCCCTCGTACAGACTGGCTTTAGAGCTCAGTATCGACTAGCCAGTGGTGACCCGGTGCTTGCCCAGAAAGGTCCTGCCTTGCCAAAAGGACTCTGACGCACCAACGGTTACCAGCTGACTCAGAGAAGAGAAAGATGAAGGAGACACTTTTTGTGACTTTCTAAATGGAGAAGGAGCAATAAGAGCTGCTGTGACTTTATTACGGGAGGTGGAAGGAGAGGAACAATGTTGTAGAGGAGGAGTTGTGTGGACAGAGCTGAGCAGCACTCCATTTACAGATCTAGACCGGGTGAAGCCTCATGGTGCAGACGTGACAGCCTGCATTCCAGCTGCTCCGGTCGGACCCCGCTGAGGAGCCTCCTCAAGATGCAGTCCGCTCCGGACAACCGTTAAACGGCGAAGGCGAGCCTGCAGCATCCGCGAAGGACGCGGGCGCGCGCGCGTGTGTGTGTGTGTGGCTGGGTGGTGGGGGCTCGTGAGTGTGTGTTTGTGTCACCATGAGTCTTGTCTCGGGCTTCCCTCACCACCCGGTCATGCACCATCACGACAGCCATCACTATTCCTTGCATGCTGCGACTGCAAGTCGATGTCACGAGGACTCCGGAGCTCCTCCTTACTTCACGAGCTGGTTGATAAGCCACGCGGATATGTCTCCCACTGAGTACAGCCTCGCGCCCGGCTACAGTCCAGAGTACCATGGCAACAACAGCGGCGGGTCTACCGGTGGCCTCGACCCCCACCATCACCATCACCACCACTATGGGCCCGGCAGTTTGGTTCCGGGGACCGGGACCATTTCCGTTAATGGAGCTACGGTCGGTATGCACCTCCACCACCACACACACCCTCGGACTGTGAAGCGGAGACCTACGGCCAACCGTAAAGAGAGGCGGAGGACCCAGAGCATTAACTCGGCCTTTGCGGAGCTGAGAGAGTGTATCCCCAACGTCCCAGCAGACACCAAGCTGTCCAAGATCAAGACACTGCGGCTGGCTACCAGCTACATCTCCTACCTGATGGACATCCTGGACAAGGACGGACAACACGGAGACACACAGGCTTTCAAGGCCGAGCTGAAAAAGTCGGAGGTTAGGGAGGAGCGGAGGAAGAGAGAAGCGGTAAGAGCATGCAGTGATATAGCTTAAGAACTTCTGAAGTGAAGGGACATAATGTATCCTGGAGGAGCTGTGGTAATAACATGAGAGTAAACATCATCATCAAATGTTATAGTTCCGCTTTACTGACAGATTCAGGCCCAAACTACCGTTACTCTGGGTTGCTGGGTTTAGCCTAAAAGAACACTGCTACTTCTCAGCTGACACGAGAGAAGCTAGACTATTCCTAAAGGCAATGTCTGAATACGAAAATGTTGCAACTGAAATATGCATTTTGTTTAATTATCTTAAGGACTAAATCAATCATTATGGTTCTATTAGACAGTGTTATTGCATATATGTAGAACACACACACACACACACACACACACACACACATTTGAATGCAGAATGTTAGATTTCCTATGTAAACACGTGGTTTAAAATGTTAAATTAGTAAAATATCATAACGCTATTTCGACTGAATTCATGTGCGATCCTGCACGTCTAATTTGTCATCCCTTCCCGTTGAGGTTGCAGTCACATTTCTTTGATTTCTGTTCTATTATTTCTGAACCGAATATTTCCTGTGATAAATTGCGTTTTAAGCAGGAGCTCTGCGGCCCTGGTTTAACTCATTGTCCACGAATAATGTGCCGATTGGGGACAGCCTAGTTTACTGAGGACGGGAAGACAGATAGGCCTGTAATAGATCGCTCTCAGTGAAAGACAGCAATGCGATGCGAGTAATATTACAAGACAGTGGTGTTGATTTGTTCGTAACATTTTCACGTGGTTATTTTATAACCTTTATTATAAAAAGCAACTTGACTCCCCACATTAATAAACATTTTTTGTTCTCCAAAATCTTCTCCTGTAAGATATACAGCTAGAGCTAAGATAACCTACACTAAAACTAAAAACATCAGGGTACACAAAGTAAACGACACTCAAGGAATTACACTCGCACATCAGCTATTGCACGTATTGGAAGGTAATCTAATAGCCTCGTGCATCTGAGAGAGACATTTTAACATTCTGGGAAGCACACTGCTAAGGAGAGAATTAGCACTAACATATACGTGTTTGCCCGTAGGCTACTGTAATGTCTGTTCTATTATCTACATAGTTTAGGTCCCTATTCTACTGCCCATACCCTTGGGCTGCAAAAGCTGTACAGTTGACAAATAATTAATTTTAGCACATCCAGGAGATTCAAACCAAATTCAAATGTCTTTGCTTGCCTTTTTCACAGGAGTACAACTGATATACAAACATTGGTATAAATCTGGACTCTTTTCAACAAGCAGCAGCCAAAAGTATCACACTGCTGCTTTATTCACATTTGAGTCAAATTTATTTTTTTGTTGCTATATAGGTCATGCTTTACCTTTATACACTAACACAACTATAGTATGCCTTAAATTTTATTAGCATTGACAAAAGCTGCATGTTGTTTCCACACACATTATCTCATGATAAATGGCTGCCACATTTTATTTTATTCAGAGCAAACGCTAAATCCTAAGTCCATCAAGGGAACTTTTATGCACAACCATATATGACAATACAGGAGGTCAGAATAGACTAGAAGAGGACAGAACAGAATAATTATTTCCTGTCAGCTCTCTAACGTGCTGCCTATAGGAAGTGTTGTGCATAATGGAAGCCAGAAACCATTTTCCCTCACCTTCAAACTGCAATCACTATTAGGAGGATGTAGTTCTTTTAATAACTCATATCAAGTCTTAAATAAATCTCTAGTCCTTGATTTAAATACACACTCTCCTGCTACAACTGAGACAAATATAGTAAAATAAAAATATAATTAATGTGAACAGAGTCCCATATTTTACAAAGAAAAATCCTTCAAATGTTATCTTAGGTGAAAAGTGTGATCCTCATTGTAGTTTAGGTAAGCATGGAATGTTTTATACTGTCAAATGGGGACTACATAAGTGAGTTTGGGTGTGTTTAAATGTTCCTCTAAACTTGCTATTGAGGGGGGAGTTGATGTTTCCAACTCAGTAATTTCAGGAAGTTTACAATAAACATTTTTTGTGAAAGGGAAAATTAGTAACTAAGGACTTCAATTCTTAAGATGTTGGTCTTAATCCGCGCTGTTCCGTTTTTGTTTATTTCAGACTTGCTTGTTGTGGATTTGTTCAGTTTGTTGTTCTACAGTAGAATAATCAATTGATTTTGATGTGATCAACTGATTTTACAGACGCAGGGTCGGGACCTGCTGGATTTTACTCAACGAGGTTTTAAGATAAATTGTGATTATTTTAGGCTATACTTTGCATAATTGTATGTAGGCAAATGACATAGAGCATTTTTTATTTTATCACTTCGCTGCTGCAAATTGACCCTTATCTATTCTATAACTACTATGTGATACAGGCAATAGATTTAGATTTATAACAGTAAAACGACTTTAGTGACGGACTTGCTTGTCATCGCCTGAGTAACGACATGTTTCAAATTTGTTGCAGAGTTCCTTTTTTTTTTTTTTTTTCGTGCCTTACTTGGCTTTTGGTTCTGTGTGAGTAAATGTTCAAGATATAGAGATCTTTAATTTGTCATGTCAGTGTCAAAGACAGTATAGTTGTTTTACTTTCAGTTAAACCCGTTGGGATGGAAATTGCGTTCATATGCAGCTAGAGAGCATCAGCAGGAGGACATAATGGCAGACGTAGTCTGGAGTGGTCGCGTGCAGACCTCAAGTCTCGTTAAAAACCGATGTCACAGATATGCTGCTAGAACTTTCAAAACCCTCACAAATAACTAAACACTGACTAAAGCCTTGTTCGGTCATATTCACACCACACGTGTGAGATTGTAGAGGACATCTACTGGCTGTTTTGACAGGGCGATTTAGTAAGGTTTCAGTTTAAGTTATGAGACACTGTGTACTTCATTATTATACATTTTATTCTCACAGAAAGTAATAGTATGGTTTGCAAAATTGTGGTTATCGTGACTGTTATTAACAGTGACTTATTATTATGATAGATGGACATCTTAGATTTTTATCAAATGATTATANATTACTTAAAAATCAAGTCCTAGTGTGAAATCATAATTTATTATTTACACATCCAGGTATTATTTTATCGACGAGCGTTGTGATTTTATTATCTTCTCTTCTCTTTTTCTCTTTTGAATATATCATATTTTATATAATATTCAGGTCAATTGTTTTTTGCTTTTGTTTGGTTAACACAAGTAGAACACATCGCATTCGATCAGGGAGCTGCATCAGACTGTTATTTAAAAGTACATTAGTACAAAATTGGGATTGGATGTTAACTGTTTAGATATTGTATTTTTGCAGTAATTGCCTACACACACAACATTCGCAATCGTACCGTTTAATCAACGCAACTGGACAGAAATAGTCGATTTGGTTTTCGAGAATTTTTTTTTTTGTAGACAATTACGCTGAATTTAAAGATCTGGCAGTTTAAGGAAAACCTTGATCTTGTTTAGCAGCTTATTAAGGGCACATTTCTGGGACAGCACCAACCTCTATGGACTGCTGAGCTCTCTTTAATCGATCCCTTTCTTTGTAACGTGTTTAGTTAAAATTTCAATTTGCACCATATTTAAAAACTATTTTCTCGGGTAATAACATAATATTCAGATCAGGTTCAACGATAAATATCATGCATAACATATAAATAGTTGCCTATAAGTTTAGTAATAACAAGTGGAACTTGGAAGAGTTCAAATGTTTGCTACCGTGTTGCATTCCGTCACCATGATGGTGGCTGGAGGAATTTAGTGTGTTTACCGTCATCATCATATTTTCAAATGAGAAAAATGAACTAGCGGGAAGGTGTAAATCCTAAACATTTAAAGATTTCAACGCAAATAGAGGATGTGGATGAGTACATTCAACACCGCTGAACAGGAGATCAACGGGAATTCTTTGCCACTGATGGGTTGAGGAGATGTGTGCCATAATTCGTGGCATTCGTATTTTGCTGGTGTAATGGAACACGTTCGTTCATTGCAGTGTTAATCAGCATGCAGAATAACTTGACCTGCCTTCTGCAGCGTGTAGAGCAGCTTGTGTTGTGTGTCAACAATGCACATCCACCTGGCGCTCTCAACGACCCGCCACGGCTCACGTGACGCCCGTTATGGGCGCTCCTGCCGCGTGCAGTTTACATATACTCACATACTAATCTGTAAATTGTGATATTACCGAAAAGAAAATGCAGAATATGAGGAAAATGGTGAATGCGGCAGCTTGAAAAATCGTGTGGGTTTTTGCACGAGGCCTAATGTGTGGATATGGTCTGGATTTATAAAATCAGACTTGTTTTAGAGCGTACGTCCTTGACGCGCTTGTACGCTCATGCAGAAAAGGCCAGCTGACATTGAGCTTGAGGCAGGGTACACACAACAACTGATAGAACAAAGAGGCAATTTAGAATCTTTAATTAGTCTTCAATGGATGACTTACTAACCTATCACTTTATCATTCTTTGTGGTGTAGTATTATACTATAGCTTATAGGCCGATGACGATCATGATGACTGTAGCGTATATACATGAGGATCTTATGCTCTTCTGTTTTGATTTTTGTTTTTTAATCTTTTTTTCTTGGGCAGGATTGGGCAAAAAATAGTTTCCTTTTTGCAGTGGCAGCATGAAAACCGTTTGACTATTCAAATGGGCACACACACTGAGACATATGCAGGCAGGCGGATGAGAGCAATTTTCTATTATAAAATGAACTGCAGACAAAGATGTTCATTCAATCAAAGAATGGTTAAGTATGGAGCTTGGACACACATCGAAATAAGTACACCGTGTAACTCATATTTGTTCCAGTGTATTAACCAAACTCCCTAGCCTACACAATATGGATTCCGGCTGCAGAGGAAGTGATGCCTCAGCTGGTGTCCAAACAGACCGTGTCCTATACTCGCTTTCATTAGTACATTTCATCTGTAGGCTCTAAATCTTAAATGCATAGGGAATTCAGAAAAATCTGCAAAGTGAATAAAGTTATTCTAATATAGAATGATTTCCTCATTGTCTCTGTTCCTAAAATAAGAGTGATCCATGCTGCAAAACTGGGATTTTGCATTTTAAGTAAATAAAAAACAACAACAGCGCACTATATCTTCTCCATAATCTTAATGCAAATCATTTGTCTGCAGGTGGAGATCCCTAAGACAACTTCATCATCATCATCACCATCATCCTCGTCCTCGTCGTTGTTCTCCTCATCAGCAGGCGATAAGAAGAGTAAAGGACGAACAGGGTGGCCTCAACATGTCTGGGCTCTGGAACTCAAACAGTAGCGACACCCTCACTACAACAACAGCACTCTTGTTTCCACCAGCTCTGCCCTCAAAGACTGTGACAGCATCGACCCAATCTGACGAACTGTATTGTCTCAGCTTCACACAGAAATGTAAACGCTGTGCAAACGTGTAGCCTAAAGCTCAATTTCCTTTATATTGATGAGACCATTGGCTTGCTTGTTGCGTAGAGATCCCAAAAGAACATCACTCCCATACTTTCATTAAGAGACCTCTGTGACTCTGTGCTGTGTAAAGGTTTAACTTCGAACCCTCATTTCCTCCATACATTTTACCACGACAGAGAAATCTCCCATGAATCACATAGTCTTTGTTCTTTTTCTTTTAAAGTAATAGAAAATTATAACACAAAGTTGTAATTTACATACACTTAATGGGGAAAATGGCAACCATCCTTTTCTAGTAATTCAGTATGTTTGATGCCAGTGGAAGACTAATTGAAAATACAATGAATGTCTGCGGGCTTAAGCTACAGAGCACATGTGCATTAGAGACAAGTCAGTGGGGTCTATGGGGTTAAATAACTCACAAACTATTATTAATGTGTATATTTGACCTCAGAAATCGATAGGGTCTACTCTTACATTTGTCGCGCATCTAACAAACAGTTTTGCGGCAGATATTTTCACTGTCAGCTTCTCGAAGACCTCATTAAATCATTTACAATGGTGTGCGGCAAATCATTTTCCTCTGACGCAAATCAGAATGCGTCGGGGATAGGCCAAACCATCTCTTTCTCTCTCTCTCTCTCTGTGTCTCTGTCTCTCTCTTTCTCTGTCTCTCTCTCTCTCTGTGTCTCTGTCTATCTGTGTCTCTCTCTCTCTCTCCAAACACACACACACTGGGTGTTGACACGCTCATAATGTACTTGATGAAATATATTTTTATGTGCAATGGGACCGATGGCCACAACAGCCTCTGAGTGACAGCGGACATTCACTGTTGCTCTTATTGTACCACAAGGTAGGCTTATGTGAAATTCTCCTTCTGTGTTTCCTCTCATAACTTTTAATTGTAAATGTGGTGACGTCACGGTAATGAAAAGGTATCCATGTTGTGATGTGGAAAATGTGGTGGGACTCTTCTAGTGTGGGATGTAAACAATGTCATAAATTGAATAAACCACCACCTGCTTATGGTAACTGGTGCAAACTGGGTTTCTTTCTTACATTTAGGTGGCCAATGAATAATTCAGAAATAAAAAGGTCATATAGCTTCAATTAAGAAGTAGAAGACATCATCTTTTATATTTGTATGGATCAGCTTGTGAAAAGGGCTCCCTTTTTCAAAGCTGAACAATAATGTTCTCACATTATGAATTAAAAGCTTGCTGTCCAAAAGTATGGACAGGCTAAATAGATGATATAAGGTGTAAAATCAGGAGGATGTATTTGGGTAATCTGGGACATTTACAATTTTGACTTCTGAGATGTATTCCGATATCTGTTTTACACATTAAATCAACATATAATACTCAATCTGTAATCCTTAAGATGTTCTAACTACCCCAGAAGAAATAATTGAGATAGCATACTCAGAGGAGACATGGCACAGCTTTTAGTGGTCACTTTGTAATCTGGGTAAAATGTATTAGCCTTTAAAAAAGCCTAAATCAAAAAAGCACTGAAAAAAATATTACTAAGAAAACGAATAAGAAATGTATATTATTGATATAAAGAACCCATAGTCTAAATATTGAAACTGTAAAATTCATTAAAAACATTTTATTAAAGGTGTAGCCTATCACATTAAAAAAAATCTATTGAAATAAAATAAACAGTAAGCAAATATAACAATAACAGTTTATTCATTCAGTAAGTCTATTGGGGCAACAGTCCTTGCAGGTGAGAGACCCATCATTATCCCATTGTCTTCTTCACATGTTTGGTGAAACCAATGGCTGCAGACCACAGAGCAGTCTGAATGGCAATAAACAGTACTGTAAAGTGCTTTGAGTAGTCATCAAGACTAGAAAAGCACATTATCAATCATTTGATAAAGAAGGGAAGAAAACAAATATTCAACAACTCAATGCATATTTATTTGCTTGAATACATCACAAAGAATTTGATAACAATTAGGAACATTGTCTAATTTATGACAGATTTATATCCTTAACATTAATCTTGTCAGAATCCCCTGTCATTGGGGGAGGGCTTCTGATTGACATTTCTCCCGCCCATTTCTGGGCATGAAGTCATGTGATTTCAGTCACATGATATCCGTTTAACTAGATTTTGTTACAACATGAAATAAACAGACTGGAGCTAAGGTGTCCCACATTACCCAATATCCCAAATTCACCATACTTGTAATTTTTTTACAATGGAAAAAATCAGGCATAATTTATTTTTGTATAACATAATTATATTTATAATTATATTTGATTGAATTTTATAATCATTTTAATCATTCTTGAATCATTGAGTCTTCCTAATTTTCACATCTTTCTTTTCAACATTTGAATATATATTATATTCACTGATAAAAATCAAAACCTCAAATTAATGCTTTTTCTCAATTGATAATAACAGAAAATGAATGGTTTTACCTACATGTTAGCAAATATCATTGGAGCACTGAAACCTACAACTTAATGAAAAGTCATGAATAATCAGGTTTGCAACGGAGTTTGTTGTAGTAAAGACTGACATTGTTAAATACACAAAATGTTTCAATATAAAGGGCATTTAAAGAAGGCTATTTCATGTTACACATAGCTCTACTGTGGAATACATAAGGAAACAATCACAAACACCTAAATGATATCATTATGATTACCCAACTCAGTCAGATTTAAGCTGATTTAAGAAAACTTTTTTGTGACAGATGTAAACTCAATTGCCATAACTAAGAAATATTGAAGTAGAAGTATTACCCTATTTTTGCACAGTGTTTTTAGAAACCTAGAAACTGATTTCATTTTGAAAACAGAAATACTATTCACACATTCAGCTGATCCAAGAAAACAATATTGACATGTTTCTTGGTCTTAACGTTGCCATGGTATCTGATGGAGCTGACATTCACTCAACCAGCCTTATCTCTCATCCCAGTTGGTATGCTGATGGGAGACAGGGGGAAAAAAAGGTTGAGAGGATTTTTCTCTTTCTGACAAAGACTAACACAAGATGTAATGGCCTGAGTCTGGCCTCGGGTGAAGACAGGAGTGCAGATAATTAGTGAGAGAGCTGGCGTCAGACAGAGTCGACCCTGAAATGACCAGGACTCACACAGACACGCACGCACAAACACGCACACAGATCACTGTCCCACTTGAAGGCAGATTGGGACTAAAGGAATCAATATCAAATTAATCATGAAACCAGGGAAGAAAATGATTAATATCCTGCTCAGTTAACTCCAACAAGCTTCCCCTTTTGCCACTCTGCTTTGTCTCTATATAAGACTTGCCTGGTGTATATGCGGACCTGTTTTTAGCTGTTGTCCCGGAGCAGCCCTGCTGTGCTACTCCTCTTCTCTGTTGTCTACAGTTACTACTCTTCAGGATTGACTTCAGCCACACCTCTGCATTTTTTACTTTGTTATTCATGTAAAGTGACTCACACAGCCCAGTTATCTGGAGAGGTAGACAGATGGAGACAGACTGGGGCAGCTGTGGCTTAGGAGAAAGAGTGGGTCATCAACTAACCAGAACGTTGGTGGTTCGATCCCTGGCTGCTTCATTATGCATGCTTAGCTGCACATAGATGCACTGTATGAATGTGTGGGTGAATGGCAAAATTGAAAAAACAATTATCACTTAACAACTGTCTGTTGTCACTAAGAAGAATATAAACCTGTACCACTGACAAATGGTGTAATCATAGTTTAAAATACTGCCCCACACTGCTATGTGTGGACTATCAGTAAATGCTTCAACCTAATACAGAAATCTGCTGCAATGATGAGTGTGGGCCCACACAGGCCCAGATAGGACAGGAAGTGAAAGTCTTCTAACTGATCCATTAGCACAGTTTGTGTTGACAACACATCAGCCTAATATCTGCAAAGAGCAGTTAACTGGTGTTAGAATGCAATGAAAGACTGAATAAAGTAGACTCCAGACACAGTTTACTTCACTTACATCTTGTAAAGGCAGCGATCATATATCTTCAAGAGACACGAACAGAGCTCAGATCAGTGTACGTACAATCTTTTTTTCTTTGTCTATTCCTCTCATAGATGTGATCTTTAGATTAGATTGCCAGAGTCATCCTTAATCATTACTAAGCCATGTCAAGCCCACTTTAGACTGTCATTATTCACATCACAATTTACAACATTGTCATGACATAAGGCAGCTCAAATAACAGTATGTTTTGTGCACATTGTAAAGAATTGATTTAGACATTTTAAACATCATGCAGCCTTAACTTAAGCACTCACAACAAGTAACCTCTGCATACAGATAACATGAAGCACAGATCAGTGATACTTCTTATCCTTTGAGGGTCATGGGGGGAGCTGGAGCCAATCCTAGTTGACATTAGACAAGAGTCTGTGTGTTGCATTTCAACATCAAACACTTAGTCTAAGTAACCTGGTTGGGGCTGGTCACAGGCTCTTCAAGAAAGTACTGTGTTAAAATCCCCTATCTATCCCTTATCAGACACAGAGCTCAATTTATGGAATTCTTTGGGTTTGAGTAGGGGGATCAGGGTCTAAGGCCCATAAGTTGTTCTGGGTTTTGGGCTGCCTGGCATTGATCATATTCCTTTAGTTTTAATCTATAGCTGTTGAGCTCTACAGTGGTCTTGACCCATTTCCTTAAAAAGGCTTTTGGTTATCCACTGTCCCCAAGCAGTGACATTTAAAAAAAAACAACAAACAAACAAAAAAGTGGTTTTGCCTCCTTAGTCCCATTATATCCACATCCCTTGTTGCTTCATCTCCAGAGTTGGTTCTGTCCTACCATTAGCAGGGGATGCTTTAGACCAGTGGCCATTACACCCTTATCTGAGCTCAGTTGTCCTAGGTGTTTGTATAAATGCCTGACCTGCTCTTTCCCTTGTCACCACCTCCACAAGGATGCTGTACTGAAGCTTTGACTCCACTCCATTCATAATTGCCTACTCGCCTTGCTGTTAGCCTCAAGAAGATTTGTGGTCATTTCACTCTCAGTAGGCTATTACAGCATCTGTGTAGCACACAAGACATAAACCGCCTCCTGACTCATTTCCTGCTCAGGTGGTGTCTCTACTCAGCAGTGATTTTGAAGAGCCAAGTTGTTCTCAAGCTCAAGCTTCTCAAGTAGCTAGTAAACTTCTTCAGTTCCATGATGGTTGTATGCAAAACAAGTACCAGTGACAGAACACTCTGAAGTATACCTTAGTTCTACATGCAGGTACAAGGAAAATACCTGCATCAAAATTCTATTTACCTGCCTGTGAATCAGAGGTGAAAGCTCAACAAATCACCAAAGAATACATTGTGTTGTTTACATAATACAGCTCCATCTTAGGTGCAACAGGATACTATCATTGCTACAATGATAGCTAGTTGACTATTGACTGGTTAAGTCATGTCAATGACCAGTTGATCAGTTTCAAAACTTATATAATCTTTGAAGGTAACTCTTTCAAAGAGTCTGTGAGTCATCATGCAAATTAAGTAAAATGTTATAAATCACAGTAGAAAAAACATTTTATACCTCTTTTCATAGTATTGAGCATATACTACTCAAATGTATAATTTGCTCAACAGTGCATGTGACAACATATGCAGTTATGAATCAGTTAGGACCAAAGTAATGGAGGAATATATAACATTTGTCAATCAAGATTGTGAACAGCTTCCTCACAGGAAACAGATTGTTTAATTCATTTAGTCTTAGATGATTTAATAAGGCTAAATAGCACTCATTTTGATTCTTGCATATCAGTCTATAGTCATTACACTTGAACAATATATTTGCAACATGTCAAAAACCTAAATTAAAATCACAGTGAGACATTTCAAAAAGTTTCAAAGACCATACCAATATCTGAATTTACAACAACATGCCCCCACCCACCCCCACTCCCCCAAACACACATCGCAGACACACACTTATCTCCCTTCATGTCTCCTTTCTGTCTGTCTGGCGGCTTCTAAGTCCAGTCGACTGGTGAACATGATAGATGACTATGGCTGGAATACAATTTTTCCTTGCGATAATACCAAAAC